TGTTACCAGCGTTATTAACCCTTTGAGGACCAAGGGACGTATTTGTCCCATGTTTTTAATTGCGTGTATCATCTGATTAAGAACCTAAAACTCTTTTTTTTTTTTTTTTGGTTTGAGTCAAAATATTAGTTCTTATCAACAAATGGATCTAGCTTTTTGCCAAATATTTCATGAAATGGCTTAGTTACAGCAACTGAAGTGTACGAACTTTAAAAACAAAAAAATTGATTCTTTTGGCGTTCCAAAATCTTACGGTCCTCAAAGGGTTAAAACACTCAGTGTGCATGAGGACTTACTCCAAGATGTTCCCAGACTGCCAAACTCAGCAGCTGATTGGATAGAATAAATTCAATAATCCTTTGAGATTTTAGCAAGATGTGAGCTTTCTTCAAACTTATATGCTAGAATGGAGCTGTGGTCTGACCAGTAAACTGTAAACCTTACGTACAAACTCTGCTCTGGCTTCCTGCGTATGGAGATGCTCAGAAGGGTTGAAAAGGAATATAAATAGGACACACCAAACAAAAAAAAAAAAATTAAAGTGTTACTCTCCATGGCAATTACCTCATTATCAACAAAGCGCCGCATGGTGTGCTTCTTTTTCAGATGCTTTCTGCGTTTTAAAATCAGTACAAGGACAACTGCAGCAGTCAGGAAGAGAAATATACTGCCCACCACCGCCACGATCATGTAAATATGACTACGGAGGGAAGAAAGAGATGGGTAAGAGAACAAAACAGAACACCTCTGTAACCTACCACATACATTTCCAACACCACAATGACACCGCTCACCTGTTGTTCACAATGATGGGGCATCCTTTCTCATCTTGTTTTTCACACCTGTATCACAAAATGTAAGAAAAGTGAGTTTATAGGATTCCTTCCACAAGAATAAGATGCAATGCCTCCAATGGGATATAGAAAGAAATAAAAACCTGGTAGTGGCTCGTCCCAAAAACAAGCTGGAGTGCCACTGGAGGACTCCACTGAGACCTTTTTGCATCTAAAATATCAAGATAGCATAACCTCATAATAATTACAACCCTTTTTAAGAAATTCACTGCATATGTTATTCTAAGCCTTTTCAATGCCAGAACTCCTGTGGCAATAGCAGAATTGTTTTTCTTGCATTTTTTGCTACGCTCTACATTTTTATCTTTTTAAAATGAACCTGTCAGGACCCGGTGCTGAACTTGCGAGCTCTGCTGTGTCTGGCGATGTTTCTTCTTGCGGAGCTACCCGAGATGCTGGACAGCTCCCTGTCTGATCTATTGGTCAATCAAGCCTTGTGCTGTCTTTCTGCTGAACTTTGAACTCCCTGCTCCCTCCATGAACTTCCTATTTAAGCCATTTCTCTGCACCTCCTGGTTGTCGGGGTCTCCTGGTTATTGTGCTCTCCAGCCAATATCTTGCTCTTGTCACTCCTGCAGCTGTCCTCATCTCCACTACCACTCGTTACCGACTGACCTTTGTCTTGTTTCGGGACTAAGCTTCTAGATGATCCCAACCTGCAACCACCTGTTAATGATCTTTGACTTGTTTACTGACTACACTTCTGCTTGATCCCTACCTTCTTTCTGATACCGGAACCTGGTTTGCTCACCCCTGGTGGAGCGATCTAGAGCAGCTTTTTTCAACCAGGGTGGCGCAGGCACCCCGTGGTGCCTTCAGGTTTCAGAAAATGTTAAAACATTGCCCCAAAATTGTATACAAGCCAGTGGGTGCAGAAATCCTGCCTTTCAATTACGCAAAGCCATAGGTTTTCATTGTGCACCATTACAATCTTCCAGCTCCTGGCATCCTAAAAACCAATGACATCCTCAGCTGATAAGGAGGACATCGGGTGCCTGAGCAGCATCCCTATTTACCCTTCCCCTACCTCTCTCCATCAGCACTGGGGTCACCTTAGTGGAGTGAGGGAGAGAAACTGATGGAGAAGAGAAACATTGGTATACTAGTCAGTATACAAAAAGGTGTATTTGCAGATGCTTTTGTAAGGCTAAATCACCTCTGATGTTGTGTGTTCTACGAGTGTGGATGTTGCTGCGTTATGTAAAAACTATTACTTTAGTTTTTTCTCCATTTTAAAATGGGGTGCCCTGAAAAGGTGCATTATTTTAAAGGGTGTCTTGATCAAAAAAAAGGTTCTGACCTAGAGGAATGCGACCTGGTGCTAACACGCAGCACAACCCATCCCCACCATCAGGAGTTCTGGAGTTCTGGTGAACACTGGTTAGCACTTAGACTCCGCACATTGGGTGAGCCTGTGTCATTCACCACGGTGACCTACTGCTGCACTTGTCAAGCTGGTCGGTGGGAGCCTCTCTACTGCTATTGCTAATGGCCTCCGACACTAACCCGACAGTGGCAGAACCTATGGTAAAAAATGTATGCGAGCTGCACATTGTACAGAGTGTACACCCCAGTGCATGGAGTGATGCAGATTGTCCAGCATAGCCTGCAGTATTGAACTGTGTGGAGTATATATGGTTACAAAAAAAAAAGAAAAAAGATGAGTAGAGTGGGGCACCATAGAGTATATATTGTGCAGCACAGTGTACAGATTGAAGCAATGTGGATACAGTGAACAGCACAGTGTACAGAGTGGAGAAGTGTAGAGTAAATATTATAAAGAACAGTACACAAAGGGGTTGATCTACGAACACTGGTGCATTCCGAATCTGGTGCAGTAGTACATGGTAGCGAAGTATATATGAGGCCTAAAGCAACATAAATCCATGGCACTTACGAATGGGAGCAGTTAACAGGGCACAGCTGACACTCTCCATCCTTGTCTGCATACTTCCAAACAGGCACAAAGGAGTCCAACTTCTTTCCGCTTGGGCACTGGTTGACGCATGTGGTGCTATCTCTGAAGTGAGCACAGGCCACACACTGGTCTGCATTCTGTTAAAAAAATGTGACTGAGTAAAATCATTTGCAACAATGTACTAGAGAAAATCAATTATATACAGAATGCAGGGCACTGACCGGACCAAAACATGTCTGAGATCCATTCTGCGGCATGCACTCAGGATGACATGTTATACAATGGCCTTCATCAACAACTTCCCTTGGCTCCCTGAAAGAAAATACTTATTCCTCATCATAGAGCAACTATATAGCAGATTCAATGCTGCAAAGAAAGAGGCTTCCATTATGGAAGTTAAAGTGGAAGTAAAGATTAAAGTGTTACGAAACCCAGGACCCTGAATTCACTATTTCTGGGGTCCCATAACACACAGAACATGGAAATTCAATTATTTGAGTAAATATAAAACTGCTAAATACCTCTTCTCGTCAGCAGTATACAGCAGTCTTGTGAGTTTTATCAGTGTCCAGCAAAGCACTGATTACAGCTTGGAGAAGGAGTTTTCATTCTCCTGTAGGAGGATGCAGGACCCCCACCTCTGTCTGGACAGTGCTGAATGGCCCTGTGCTAATCACATGCACTCTCCCAAGAAAAAAAAAATCTCTAGTAATACACACCAAACGTACACCTCCTCCCTTGGTCACTTGATAAACTCCCATGGCTTAAAGTACCATCTCTATGCTGATGCTCCAAGATACGCCCGTTCTTAACCTCTGAAACCACTAAGCAACTTTTTCACTCCCTTGTTATCTCTCGCTTTGACTATTGTAACTCCCTCCTCATTGGCCTACCTCATCACAGGCTATCCCCTCTTCAGTCTATCATGAATACTGCTGCCAGACTCATCCACCTTACTAACCGTTCTGTATCTGCCACCCCTCTCTGCCAATCCCTCCACTGGCTCCCCATTGCCCAACGAATAAAATTCAAAACACTAACAATAACATATAAAGCCATTTATAATTCTGCCCCAAATTACATCACCAATCTTGTCTCCAAATATCACCCAAACCGTACTCTCCGCTCCTCACACAAACTCCTGCTCTCTAGCTCCCTTGTCTCCTCCTCCCATGCTCGTCTCCAGGACTTCTCCAGAGCCTCCCCCACCCTCTGGAACGCTCTACTACCCCAATCTATCCGACTATCGCCTACTCTGCTCACTCTTTTGCGATCTCTGAAAAACTCTTTCTTCAAGGAAGCCTATCCCGCCTTCAGCTAATAACAGAATCTCCTATTCCTCCTATCAGTTCACCCCCCACAGTTATTACCTTTTGTACCACCAGTCCCTCCCTCTTAGATTGTAAGCTCCAAGGAGCAGGGCCCTCCTCACCCTCTTGTATTGAACTGTATCACTGCTGTATTGTCTCCCTTTATATTGTAAAGCGCTGAGCAAACTGCTGGCGCCATATAAATCCTGTATTATAATAATAATAATAATAATAATGTGCAGTTTGCCCCCCAGTCTCTGTTCTATCAGGAGATATTTAGGAGACACTGGAAGAAGAGAAGGATCAGAGAAAAAACAGGGTCAAAAATCCTTTTTACACAGTGTAGATGATTAATCCCTTAGGTTCCACAGTGAGTATAACAAGCATGCTTTACTGCATATAGAGACTGATTTTACTGTCGTGGGTTTAGCAACATTTTAATTCTGACTATTTTTAAAAATGGCTCAGTAGCATGTTCTCACTGTGATATCTAATTGCAGATTTTTTTTTTCCTTTTCATTTTTCAGGTACCTAATTGGACAGAAGTTTGTTTTAAAGTACATTTTGCAATAATAACCTAAAATATGGTCCCACATTGCACTTTTCCCTTAATAATAACAATACTCCTTAGTTCTAAAGTATACTCTCATCACATGGTTTTAGCACAGTACAGAACACTCACCCCTCTTCCACATTGCAGGATTCCACACAGTCATTCCCACGAAGCAGGCCACTACAGTTGACGCACTGAGATGGTCCAAATCCCCAGCACTCGGCATTAGCACACAGCTGGAAGCACACATGCCCCTCTTTTTCTAGAAGATACAGAAAAAAAGTTGGTTTGCCCAACCTACTAAAAGACCACAATGTCTAAAAGACAAGTACTATCTTTTCCGGAGTTAACTTACCACACTCATTCTGCGGTTTATTTGTCGTCTTCAATATAGCTTGTCTAGGACTCCGAAATATTTTTGTCCATGGGATACTGTCCAAATAGCATAGATTTGGGTTTGCCTCTAGCAACACCAATCCACTGCTGATCTCCTTCAAGGACCGCAAGCCAAGAGAAGAGATGGAAAGATTGCGAACAACCAGCGAATATGCCCCACTACAAAGACATACAACAGATATTGCATACATCAATAACAAATCGGCTTTTGCTACAGGAAAAAATCCAAAATGTAACAGATGTATTCACCATTTTGATTGACCAGCATCTGATTTGGTTGTTTTGCTTTCTTCCAGCCCATCAGCAGGAAAACATGAAATTATATCTTTGTATTCTGCTCTGTTACACCTCCTTCAGAAGACTTCTCTGCTGGAGGAAAAATGTCTTTTGTTCTATCAGGCTCTATCCACTATAACCCTAGGTTCACACCTATGCGGCCGTGCAGGCCACGTTATGCACGGGCACGAGAGACCATTCATTTGAATGGACTCCCGTGCCCGTGACATGCAGGGAAAGAAGTCCCTGAACTACTTTGGAAAACGCAGCCCGCACGGGAACCTCAGATTGGACAAAAAAAAAATGGAAACACTACATGATTTTCAGGTGTAAAAGTGATGACATGTTTTCCGTTGAAAGTGGAAGTGATGTAACATTCTTTTGCTTCCGCTGTGTGATGAGACACCTAGCTAACAGGTAGGAAGCCTCACTTTTGTCATTCGCTGCATGTGCTGCTAGTAATACAGTCATGTCAGAACTTACTGGGCTTCAAAGAGGGCAAGTTGTTGGTGCCCGCTTAGCTGGTGCCTCTGAAGCTGCCAATTTATTTGTCGTGTCGCAAGGTACAGTTTCAAAGGTTATGATGACATACAGTTTCCGGGGAAAACATCGTCTGATAAGCATAAGCATGGTCGACATGATCAGCTGACCGAAAAAAACAAAAAGGACATTGCGCAGGATTGTGACCCAGAAAAGAAACCTGCTGCAAAAGTGACTGCAGAGCTCAATGTCAGTCCCATGAAGGCTGAGATTGAGCTCTGCAGTCACTTTTGCAGCAGTTGTTTTCTTATAATCTGACAGATCCTACAGAAGGGTTTACATTTCATCTTAAAATAAACCTTTTGAGATGGATATAGGGGCTGCCAATACTAGTCGTGTGCCGATTATGCGGATCCCCTCACTTCAATACTTTCACAGTCCCACAACAAGTATGCAGATAAGGAACATCCTTATTTGAATACATGTTCGGGGCTCACAGTACTAAAGCAAGAGAGTAAGCATGACAGCCAAGGTAATAGCATTTACAGAATGAAAATGCAGCACTGGCATCCTCAATCCCCTGGATCAACTGTGAGTATAGGATTATAACTTTTTTTTTTATGGTTGAACTAGATGGACTTTTGTCTTTTTCAGCCAGACTAACTATGTAATATTTCTTTCAGTTAAGATTTCCTTTAACAGTAATTATAGGAAATAACTATTAAAGTTTTATTTTGAATATAGCATTCAGGGTGTATGCGAGATACTCACTTATGTAGGAGCCGCCCTCGAATGACATGCAAACTCTCAAATACACTGAGATTAGCCAGTTCTTCAGGCCACGAGTCAATGTATATATATCCTACAACATAGAAAGAGATGAGCATGCATATGGCATTAATAGTAACTGAAATACAGCTAAGGAGATTTGTCCTCACTTTTGGGACCTGTGACTCCCGTAGAACAAATAGGGGGTGCAACTGTCATCTAGACAGGAAATGCTAACTCTTCCCCTACTAGAAATGTGTTTTTGTCCATGTCCCAATGGAGAGCTTTCCAAACTTTTTTTCATACCACGAAAAGGAAAGGAGGGAAATTTCCCAACAGGGACAAAGTAGTACATACATGGTTTTGGGGACCAACAAGGCTGTCTTTTGGGCATACAGTGTTGTAAAAATGATTTTATTTTCTATCTGTAGACAAGAGCATGTAACAAAAATATGCTTTTTTATTTTTTGACCAGAGTAAGTTTTCAAAATAAGTAATGTTACTGCAGATAAAAAGTAACATTTTATTTTATAAACTGTCCTGTTGATAATGACAGTAAAATGGTTTTGGTACAACACATGCCTGTTATTACAAATGAAGGTCCGTTGTTTTACGGTTTTTTTATATATGTGACACTGTAAAAAATTAAACAAAATACATGAAAATAAAAAAGGCTAATTATAATGGTAAATAAAATCAAATGCGATAAAAATTAGCAGAAAAATAATAGCTAGGGGAAGAAAGGGATGGAGGAATTAAAGCGGATCTAAACCCATCATAAAACAGTTACATTACCGGCATGACAGGAATGCAACTGTCCAGTACGCTTGTACCCTCAACCAAACTGTCAAACCATCTAATGGCTGGCATCATAACTGATCACATGTGCCGCATTGCGGCAGATAGGGCCGCCATCAGCGGGGGACCACCGCATACATGTGTAGGGGGGGCCTGGGCATCCCGAGTTGCCCGCTCTGCTGTTTTGTTTCAGTAACAAGAGGGGAGAACTCAGCTTAACAGACAGACTCCTCCTCTCACCAACAGCTTCCTTAGGGTTCCTGGCCAGGTGGGCAGGGCATCGGTCACCACGTGACGGGTGGTACAGCACGGTTCATTGAGACAAAGCGGGAAGAGAAAGATGGAGAGCGGAACATCCTACCTATAGTGTGTATCTGAGAGGAGAGGAAAGAGCCGCTCTGGCATTATCAGTCACTGACAGCCAGGATCGATTTGGAGTTTGGTTGGTGGCACTGATGGGGGGGGGGGAGCATTCACAGACTGGCCTGCCCATTAAATGTAGGTGCTGCAGGTGCTACTGCACAGATCCTATAACTATAAGCTTAGCTAACATTCCTTCAGACTGGAATTATACAGATGCTGAGGGGCTACATGTGGATGTGGGCCTGTGCAGTGACTGTCTATTTGCTGAATTGAGTTGTCTCTATGCTGCATATATGGGGATGTCTTTTTGCTGGATTGGGATGTCTCTTTGCTAAATATATGGGGGTGTCTCTTTGCTGGACTTGGCCATCTGTTTACTGGATTGGGATCTCTTTACTGAATATATGGCGGATGTCTCTTTGCTGAATTGGAATGTCTCTTTACTGAATATATGGGGATGTCTCTTTGCTGTATATACAGTATTGGGATTTTGCTTTGCTGGATTGGAATGTCTCTTTGCTGCATATACAGTATTGGGATTTCTCTTTGCTGGATTGGGATATCGCTTTGCTGCATATACAGTATTGGGATTTCTCTTTGCTGGATTGGGATGTGTCTTTGCTGAATATACGGGGATGTCTCTGCTGGGCCATCTCTGCTGGATTGGGATGTCTCTGCTGAATAGAGAAGTCTGGGTGCACTGAAGGGACCCAGTGGAATGGCCTATGGCAGATTCGGTGGGACAGCCAGTGAGTGGACCCTTGAGAATGTTGGTGGGGGAAGGGGGGGGGGGGGTGATCGTTCTAAAGCTGTGTTAGGGGACTCAATTTCTGATTGCTGCTCTGGTTGCAGATCACATAGAAGCTAAGTTGGCAGCTTCCTTGGCAGGAAAGGATAGGAGGGTTTAGTTTTGCTTCAATAAGGGTTGATTACAGTTAAGAGTTAATAAGGGTTTGAATAAGAACAATAGCAAATAGGTAAAGGTAATGGCGCAGATAACATGTTCACATTTGAGAGAACCAGTCTGTATTGAAAAGTCCAAACAAAGTCTATCCAGAGGTGATGATGGGAATGCTAAAGTATAAAAAGTGTCAGCAACTCAGGGGAAGCCTCTTGTTAGGAGCAAAAGCAGTCTCCAGGGTACATGCAAAACAAGGGGACAAAGAAGCCCCTCATATGCAGACTGTTGTCTATTTATTAAAGTAACAAAGGATAAAAGCAACTCACATTGTAGTCCTGAGACATCATCACACCTGCTGCCGCACTCCACCCCTCTCTCCTGGTCCTCTTCCACACACAGCCGGCTCCTGGGACCAAGTCGGGTGGCGGCCACAGACCAACAGCGCGGGCAGTGATTTCAATGCACCGCAGATGGACTTTGATATATGTCTATTTTTCTCTGCGAAAATGTGGGTTGCTTTTATCCTCTCTTGCTTTAAGAAATAGACAACCGTCTGCACTTAGAGGCGCTTCTTTTTTCTCTTTCTTTAAATAGGAAAAGGTTTTGTTTTTTGTTTTTTTTACTTCCAAGGTTGGTTAAACTTATGTCACATGTAGATCATCCATTTGGGTCAGTATATGAATGAAACAAAGTAAACACAATGTAACAATAACAGGGGTGGTTTAGCTGTTATGGTATATTTAAATCCATATTGAATGGGGAGCTACAATCCATGTTATTGGGATTCTACAACCTAAAATGTTAGTGGGTGCTACATATCGATTTGGGTGGTACAAATCATTTTTTAAGATAATGCCATGATTTTCCACCATTTCATAAAGCAAACGTATTATGTATTCCATGTTAGGTACCTGTAATTTCTTCAAGAGTCTGAAATACTTCTAAATCCTCCAAACTAAGTGGTGTTATGTTCTGTGTTGGATCCCTGGAAAATTGTTTAAAAAGAATGTTACAATATACAGTATGACAATAACATTACCTCTCACTGAAAAGCTATAGGTCTTATGATCATGGACCTGCTGTATACCTAAAATTTAAATGTTTTCTAAGCCAAGCCTTTTTGAGGATAGGAGGAACAAAAAGGTATCATCAGGATATGCCTTGGCCATTACAGTGGGTCAGACCATTTAATGGGATGGCATCTAGGGTCAGAATCAAGTTAGCTCCAAATGATGCTGCATGCAAGATGGCACATCTTTTCCACAACATGAATGAATTTTAGGAATAACTATGTATGAACAAGCAATTAGACCAACACCATATTAAAGTGGTTGTAAACCCCTGACATGAAATATGAACAAAGCACATCCCTCTACAGTGCGTACTTGTCTCAATTTAGAGAAAGTGTCATTTCTGTCTGTTGTTCATTCCTCTGCTATCAGTATGAATCGCTTCTGACAAGTTTTCCTGGCACCAAGAGAAAAGTGGTGACAGGGGAGGGATCGCCAGCAGACTGACAGCCTCAGCTCTGTGTGAAGGGGGTGTGTCTCTCCTCTCCAATCAGCTCTCAGAACTCCCCCTCACAGAGCTCCGCAGAGTGTAATTTCAGCTCTCCGTCCCTTTTTTTCCTTAACTCTCAGACAAGCTTTATAAACTCAGCACCTCGAATGGATGTAGAGAAGAGAAGACTGCAGATAGCCAAGTACAACTTATGTAGGAGGATTTGTTTCATATCTGTGTGTCAACTGAGGCCAGTTACTTCACTAGGTCTATGTAAGGGTTTACAACCACTTTAACTTTGTAATGCCTCGACTGCTCCTGGCATCCTGGCTACATCAGATACAGTTCGGCTGCAATCACACGCGGGATTAACACACACTGCAAATTCCTGCAGCTGGTATGACAGGTTTGTGTAAAGAGCTGCATGGCCCATTCAAAGCAATGACGGGCTAATGGCAGCCTCAGCTATCTGTGACTATTATCAAAGGTGGGTAAGTGAGCGCAAACAGATCAGGTAAGCAGCTAACATACAGGGTAATCCTCAATACCTTGGAACATAAACTATGAATGGGGTATGTAGCGCTAGAGAACAGATAATAAACACGGGACTGTTTATGATATGAAGTACCAATACAGCAGTTCATATAATAGTTCATATATTCCAGCCTGAAAAAATGGAAATGATCCAATGATGTTCCAGATCACAAACGATAAAATAAGAGAAATTAGTGAGGTTGTGCGCTTACCACAAATACACACAATATGAGCATTGTATGTAATTAACAGCAACCGGGCATCATGGTCTGGTCAACAGCCTGGGCACCATCTGGTCATATATGGACATCCGGGTCACAGGTACAACGCTATCCAGGCCCCTTCTGGCTTTCAAATCCAAAACGCCACCTTGCATAAGCTCATTACAAACGAGCCGGGAGGCAAGAAAGCGCTAATAGTAAAGTACGTTTATTTAAGAACACAAGACAAAAACCAAGCAACCAGGACTCACATTGATATAATATAAATCCAGGCCCACATAGATCAGCTCCCTGATGGTCAGTGGTTCACTCAACATGCAGCGCATACAGATCAAAGTCCAATAGATAGGACCCTGGTGGCCAGTGGTATCACAAATACAAAGCCATAGAGTATAGTGAGTATTATTAGAAATATACTCATCCAGGTCAGGTGAGGTAGTTCCCTGGTGGCTAGTATATCCCTAGTAGCAAAGGCGTCAATAGGGGATCCACTAGCCACCAGGGAACTACCTCACCTGACCTGGATGAGTATATTTCTAATAATACTCACTATACTCTATGGCTTTGTATTTGTGATACCACTGGCCACCAGGGTCCTATCTATTGGACTTTGATCTGTATGCGCTGCATGTTGAGTGAACCACTGACCATCAGGGAGCTGATCTATGTGGGCCTGGATTTATATTATATCAATGTGAGTCCTGGTTGCTTGGTTTTTGTCTTGTGTTCTTAAATAAACGTACTTTACTATTAGCGCTTTCTTGCCTCCCGGCTCGTTTGTAATGAGCTTATGCAAGGTGGCGTTTTGGATTTGAAAGCCAGAAGGGGCCTGGATAGCGTTGTACCTGTGACCCGGATGTCCATATATGACCAGATGGTGCCCAGGCTGTTGACCAGACCATGATGCCCGGTTGCTGTTAATTACATACAATGCTCATATTGTGTGTATTTGTGGTAAGCGCACAACCTCACTAATTTCTCTTATTTTATCGTTTGAGATCTGGAACATCATTGGATCATTTCCATTTTTTCAGGCTGGAATATATGAACTATTATATGAACTGCTCTATTGGTACTTCATATCATAAACAGTCCCGTGTTTATTATCTGTTCTCTAGCGCTACATACCCCATTCATAGTATCTGTGACTATTTGCAGCTTTTCTCTCAGCCATTGATTAATTGTGGCTTGGGATGATCAAGGCTGGTTGCAGCTCTTAGTGACTGTTATTCCAGTGGTAGGAATCTGCAGATTCTTGCTGCTGGAATTTGCACTGTGCTAATTACATGTCAATGAAGCCTTATTCTAAGGCTCGGTTCATACTACTGCGATGCGATTTTGATGCAATTTTCAGTGTGATTATGTAGAGTGACTTTGAGGAGACTTTGGATATGGTTAGCATATTCTGTGAAGTCAAATTGTACTAAAACTGCACCAAAGTATCGCAGGAACCTTTTTCAAAATCATACTACACAAAGTCACTTTGATATGGCACCATTGAAAATAATGCGATTTCCCTGCAATTCAGAAGTTGCACCAGTGTGAACCAGCACTAAAAGTATTACATTTATTTTTCAAGATTTCAAAATAAAGACTCACGCTCTGAAGGATTCAGAAAGGAATGCCAAGTTGCCAAAGATTTTTGGTGCATCCTCGGAAATGTTGGATGTTAGTAGAATTTACAGTCCGTGTGGTCTTCAGAAAGTCCATTCCCAAACCATAACAAACTGAGCAGAGAGAGAGAGTGTTACTCGTGTATACAGTGATCTCTTAAAATGTTATTCCACAAAAATCTAAAGTGTTAGCTCTGTGAAAATGACTATCAAGGTACAAAGAGAAACCTCCAGCCCAACCCTTTCCATATATGTTTTGTTAAAGTGGAACTTCACTCTCTCAATTAACATTGACTATTTTTAGTGCTTATGCTGCTAGCATTAGTAAATAGATAGGAAAGTACACTGCTGAAAAAAATTAAAGGAACACTTTTGAAAACACGTCAGACCTCAATGGGGAAAAAAATATCATGCTGGATATATATACTGATATGGACTGGGTAATGTGTTAGGAACGTAAAGATGTGCCATCGTTTAACGGAAATGAAAATTATCAACCTACAGAGGACTAAATTCAAAGCCCCCCCCCCCCCCCCAAAATAAAAGTGAAAAAATTATGCAGCAGGCTAGTCCATTTGCTGAAATTTCATTGCAGCAACTCAAACTGGTGCTCAGTAGTTTATATGGCCCCCACATGCTTGTATGCATGCCTGACAACGTTGGGGCATGCTCCTAATGAGACGACAGATGGTGTACTAGGGTATTTCCTCCCATCTGATCTGGACCAGGCCATCACTGAGCTCCTGGACAGTCTGAAGTGCAACCTGGAGACGTCGAATGGACCAAAACATGATACCCCAGAGGTGTTCTATTGGATTTAGAGGTGTTCTATTGGATTTAGGTCAGACGAGTGTGGGGACCATGCAATAGTATCAATTCCTTCATCCTCCAGGAACTGCCTGCATACTATCGCCACATGAGGCCGGGCATTGTCACGTATCAGGAGGAACCCAGGACCCACTGCACCAACCTAGGGTCTGACAATGGGTCCAAGGATTTCATCCTGATACCTAATGGCAGTCAGGGTGCCATTGTGTAGCCTGTAGAGGTCTGTGCGTCTCTCCACGGATATGCCTCCCCAGTCCATCACTGACCCACTACCAAAATGGTCATGCTGAACGATGTTACAGGTAGCATAATGTTCTTCACGGCTTCTCCAGACCCTTTCATGTCTGTCACATGTGCTCAGGGTGAACCTGTTCTTATCCATTGACGGACCTGCCAATTCTGGCGTTCAATGGCAAATGCCAATGGAGATCTATGGTGTCGGGCAGTGAGCACAGGGCCCACTAGAGGATTTTGGGCCCTCAGACCACCCTCATGAAGTCTGTTTCTGATTGGTCAGAGACATTCACACCAGTGGCCTGCTGGAGGTCATTTTGTAGGGCTCTGGCAGTGCTCATCCTGTTCCTCCTTGCACAAAGGAGCAGATACCGGTCCTGCTGATGGGTTAAGGACTTTCTACGGCCCTGTCCAGCTTTACTAAAGCAACTGCCTGTCTCCTGGAATCTCTTACATGGTTTTGAGACTGTGCTGGGAGACAGAGCAAACCTTCTGGAAATGGCACGTATTGATGTGCCATCCTGGAGGAGTTGGATTTCCTGTGCAACCTCTGAAGAGTCCAGGTATCACCTCATGCTACCAGTAGTGACACTGACCCTAGCCAAATGCAAAACTAGTGAAAAACAGTCAGAAAATATGAGCAGGGAAAAAAAAGTCAATGGCCTCCACCTGTAAAACCATTCCTGTTTTGGCGTTGTCTCATTGTTGCACATCTATTGTACCTGTTGTTAATTTCATTAACACCAAAGCAGCTAGAAATGCTTACCAATCACCTCTGCTACTTAACTGACCAGATCAATATCCCAGGATTTTATTTGACTTGATGCTGTACTCGGATTAAAACGTGTTTCCTTTAATTTTTTTTTTTTTTTAAAGTGAATATAATATTTACTTGTTTAAAATTTTTATTTTTTACATTTCTTCAGTTACTTTGTGGTTCCCATGCCTAGGCAAATGATGCCATACATCCCAGGAGTCTTCAGGAGAGAAGGGAGGGTTCTCAGCTCAGCCAATGCCTGAGCTAAGGACAGACAGATTCCAGGAAGTAAATGCTACATGAATAATCTGCTCCTACGTAAAGATGGCTATGGCCAGAAATACCAGGAGGTGTTTTTCAAAATAAATTCTAAGCAAAATAAAGCATGGAGACATGGATGGATGGGGGAGTTTGCGTTGAATATTAACAATGAATTAAATAGCACTTTGGTTTTTGGTGCACAGATGCAGTGCAGTTCTACTTTAAGGACAAAAAAATACTTTTCAAAACATAATACTTTTGTTTAGCTACAATGATTAAATATGTGCATACAAAGATTCTGTATTTACACCTGGCCACCAGGTTGCAAGGATAAGATGGAATTCCTGCCCTAGCACTAACTGTTCTTTAGTGAATGGTGTACAGGACCACCAAAGATGGATCCTGGACGAGAGGTATATTTCCCCACTATTTGGGCTGTGATCCCATCAAGGGGACATCAGGGTGATGGGAACACACTCCTAGTACGCAGGAGTTTTCACTCATGCAGGGGTTCTGGGGTAATGCAGTCGGAGAGGACTGTGACAATGCTCTCTGGATTGGCGAGTCCTAATTTGGGCCCCAAAATTTGAAGGCTCAGAGAGACTTTTGGCTAGAAGGAGCCTACAAACCCTGATTAAATGGACTTTGGACCCACAACGGAAAGAGTCAGCACCTGCAGGTGAGGTGAAGCGGTGTGGTTCACAGCCGTGAAAGTGTGGACTGTCTGGCAATTGAGACATTTTGGTTGATTTAGTAAAACTGGAGAGTGCAAAATCTGGTGCAGCTGTGCATGGCAGCCAATCAGCTTCTAACTTCAGCTTGTTCAGTTAAGCTTGAATAAAAAAAATACATAAAACTGGAAGTTGATTGGTTTCTAAGCAGAGCTTCACCAGATTTTGCACTCTCCTGTTTTAGTAAATCAACCCCCCGTGGTTTGCTGAGCTCCTGAGACTTTTGGAGTCTCCTGAAGTAGATGGGAACCCTCTTGGGCACAAGTGGGCTTTGCCCCAGGCCGAGAGGCTTGGGACACCATTAAAGCAATTAATCTCCAGCTTTGGATGAAGTCTGCCTGTGTCAGATAGGGTTTGATAGGGTGTTGTGGGACACCTGGAGGGGGTCTTGTCATCTTTTGGCTTCAGGGCCCATTTTTGTATCCAGATCCTGGCACTTTACACTAACCCCACAGCAAGGGTTCAAGTAACTATCTCTCTAATAGCTTGGTGATTCTCAATAGCACACAACAGGGCTTTCCATTCTCACCGTTAACCTTTATCCTGTCCCTGGAACCATTTTTTGCTCTATCTAGGCCCACACGGATGTGAGGGGCTTTACAGTGGTGGGCAAAACTTATAAGCTTGCAGCGTACGCAGACGACCTTTTGTTCTTCCACACAGAACAGCATGTGTCAATAGCGAATCTGATGCATGCGCTTCGAGATTTTTCTGCTATGTCGACTCTCCGTGTCAATTTTTCTAAGTTTGCTCTTAATTTGGGCTTGTATCCGCAGGAGGTGGCCTTATGCAAACAGAATTTTCCTTTTACCTGGAAGGAAGATGCCATTTCATATCTTGGGATAGAGCTCCCTTCAGACATTTCGCAACTTTATGCATGTAATTTTATGCCCCTGCTGCAGCATATTCAGCAAGATCTCTAGGCATGGGACTAGGAAACCAACCGTGGTTTGGTTGGACAGTGGCCCTGAAAATGAATATCCTTCCCCAATACTTGTATGTCATGCAGGCACTGCCACATGCTTGACCAAAGTCATTCTTTGCTACAATTCATTGTGTATTTCAGTCCTTCCTTTGGAATAAGTGGATCAGCTTTTGTCCCGCTCAAAATCTAAAGGGGGAATCAGGCTACTGGACTTTTAGAAATATTACTGGCCCGCACATCTTTCTAGGATTGTCAACTGGATCCAACACATTGGAATGGGTGGGTCTGGAACAGGGCTTCCTGGATGTACCTTTAGGAGTGGCTCTGTGGATGCATACGACTTTTTCCCAGGCTCGGATGGTCGACCATCCGTTCCTTGTCGCCACTTTACAGTGCTTCCAGGCAGTGTGTACTGCACATAGCATTTCTTCAATTTCGGGTCCTTAGATTCCCACATAAGGGAGTCAGAGTTTGTGCCCAGTATGTCGTGGGCATTCTTACGTAACTCCTGGCCTTACGTTCATCCTAGGTCTGATTGACTTGGAGGATTTTGGCAGCGGAGTCCCTGATTCAAGGGTTTCTCATTGGATTTATTTAAGTCCAGCATTATCTCAATGGTCCAGGGCATCGAGAAAGCTTTTCTAGAGATTGCACTCCCTTTGAATCTAGCTGTACGTGGTCATCTCCCCAAAGATATTTAGTATTTGATATTTATGCCCGGTTTTCTGCCAAGCTTCCTCCCGGTAGTGGAAGTGTATGTAAGGCTTGGGAAAAAGACCTGCATTGTGAGTTCCAGGACTGAGAGCGTATTAATATCTTGGTACACAAGGGCTCACTTAACATACATACGCAGGAAAATGCTTACAAAAGTCATACGTGCTGGTACAAAGTACTGTATACAAAGAAAAACAAACAGAGGGCACAACGGCCTAGTGCATTATTGTACAAAATATCTATCGGAAGGATAAAAAGTAAGTATAGTACTCACAATTGACATACAGGTCAAAGACACATTACACTAAACAGCAGTGTCCAATCCACACTGCATAGAAGTCCATAAATGGAACCCTGGACTTCCAACCGGCTAACACATTTCGAGGACTCAGCCTCTTTCTCAGAGTTTTTCTTTGTATCCAGTGACATTGGACTGCCCGGTCCGTTGAGGGCAGCAAGGAGTGCATTTTCCAGGACATCCAAGTTGTTACCATAGCCCTAGCTGAGTCCATCCCCAAGCGCATGAGTACAGAGTTTGCTGGGTTTTCGGTACAAGGTACTGTACCTACTGCATAAAATCACCCCCACGGTTACCATTGTTGGAAATGTT